GTGCCTAAAAAGGCAATCCATCTCTCGTTCATCTCCCAGGACACTGGGTTTTCACCTCAGGGACATTCCATCAGGCCTGAGGGCTGGTTTTCTGTTTCTGACTCCCTGCAGCTACAGACCATTTCCAAGCTTCACACCTACCTTGCCTGACATTCCTCTGCCAACAGCCTCCAGCCTCCTGTCCTCACCATCCCAACAACACCTTCTCACTTCCTTCCCATGTAATCTAGGTAGTAAGTTCCCTGAGGAAGCTGTCTGGCTTATCCCAGATCTCCAACATGTATCAGAACATGGCTAATATATAAAAATCACACTTTAAAAATGCTCTGATCTGTATCTCTTTAAGGGTCATCTTCTCTTTTCTCTTCAATTTTAATGAATAACTTCAATGACTGAAAAAACTATCCCAACAAAAATCCTCACAACTGGCCCAATGAGCAACATCACGATAAACGGAGAAAAGACTGCAGTTGTCAAGGATTTCATTTTACTTGGATCCACAATCAACACTCATGGGAACAGCAGTCAAGAAATCAAAAAACGCATTGCACTGGGCACACCTGCTGCAAAAGACCTCTTTAAAGTGTGAAAAGCAAAGATGTCACCTTGAAGACTAAGGCGCCCTTGGCAAGCCGTGGTGTTTTCAATTGTCTCATACGCATGAGAAAGCTGGACGATGAATAAGGAAGACCAAAGAAGAATTGACGCTTCTGAATTGTGGCACTGGAGAAGAATATTGAATATACCATGGACTGCAAAACAAACAAATCTATCTTGGAAGAAGTACGACCAGAATGCTCCTTAAAAGCAAGGATGGCGAGACTACATCTCACATACTTTCAACATGTGATCAGGAGGGATCAATCCCTGAAGAAGGACATCACGTTTGGTAAAAGAAAGGGTCAGTGAAAAAGAGGAAGACCCTCAATGAGATGGAGTGACACAGTGGCTGCAACAATGGGTTCAAGCATAACAATGATTGTGAGGATGGTGCAGGACCGGGCAGCGTTTTGTTCTGTTGTTCATGGGGTCGCTATGAGTTGGAATCAATGTGATGGCACCTAACAAAAACAAATCATTTTAAGGAAATGAAAAACATCATGGCCCCAAGCACAGTACTAAAATTAATACAAACGAATCCTCTATAGACAAAGAATTTTATTATGAACAGCATTCTACCTTTAACTTTTATAAATATGAAGTGTAGGAAATGGTTCCTGTGAGTCCATATTCATGAAAGCTCAGAGCAGTATTTATTGCGGGGGGATGGGACATGATTTCTAGGACAATTCAATGATACCTGAACCTTCACCTCCAGCAAATTTACATGGTAGATGTTATATAGCTAATGTTTTAAAAATTAAGTTATGACTCAAATGCATGGATTTCTTCAAATAATGTTTCAGGCCTAACATGCAGGATTTGGTTCATCATTTCAAACCAGAAGTTTCTTAAGTTTCTACTGTGAAAAAAGTTCACTATCTTTAAACAAGGTTGCTGCTAATACACCATAAAATTCTTCTAAGACTAAAAGGAATTTCTTCAAAATTAAATTCCCAATTTAAGAAAGAGAGAAAAGTTATATTTTACTACATTTCAACTTAAACACAAGTAATGTCAAAATATGGGAAAATGGGCTTCAAAATCAACTTTATATGGAATCATGAAATCAAAGACGCCAAAAGTTGAAACGCGATGCATTTCTCATTTACATTCTTACCTATCCTTTACTGAAAGCCAAGCTAAGTGTAATTCGTGATTTACAGAAATTGAAAAAGTCTTAAAAATGTCATAATCTTTTAGCCGATTAAAGTAAAATAAACTGTCAGAAGACATGGTAAGAATCTTTTCAGTGGGAATCAATTTACTTTGCTACAGAAAGGCAAAAGTTACCACATTAAAATCTCATGCCAATTACCAATGCTGGCTTTGCAGTACCCAAAACTTGAAAACAAAAGGACTGCAATTCGCTGTGACTGTGTATCTTAAGTGCCGTACAGCATTTTTTGAGAGGAGAACATTGAAATCTATTAACAAGAATAGTATAACTTTCAAAAAGTTGGGACTAACCAGACTAACAGCCTATCTGCTCTTGTACTTTACATTTTGAAAATAAACAGCATGAGACGCTTCTGAGAATAGCATAGCAATATGATCACCTGCCCACTTGTCCACTGTAATTTTTGCATACGAAAATCTTCAAGAAGTTAGGAGAATTATATATCAGCTAAAGATAAGGACTCTATTTGAAATTTCAAACAATTTTGCCCAAAATCCAGAATGATCCCCCAAAAGTTAAAAAGGCACTTCCGAAAAAGGTGTTTGAAATCATAGTAGAGTCACTCTCTAAATCTGGACAAAACTAGCAAGCAAAAAGTTGGTAATTATTTGTCACAAATGTGTTTATCCATTCCTTACGGCATGTTTCACAGTGTGCTGTACAAGCTGTGTACAAATGCATCTTCCCCATCAGACTTAAGGTGAGGAGCTGTGTCTCATTCATTCATCCCCACATCCCTTGGTACCTAGCAGAGTGCTTTCTACATAGTAGCGACTGAAAAAATGTTAAATGATTAAAGGGGATAAATGTATTCCTAACTTCAAGTAATCCATTAGGCTCCAACTCATGTAACAACATTTATCATTTCATTTTAGCTAATAAGCACTGAGTAATTTAATAAATGTTTTTTTAAATATGCAAAGCTATTAAACAGATTTCAAACTATGAATAACATACTTACATTTTAAATGTATTTAACAGAAAGTACAGAGAAAATTTAAAAATACTTTTACACAAATAAAATAGAATATGACTGGTTTCACTGTGAACAACACAGACTAGATGGTGTTGGTGTGGTGAACATAAAGTGATTGGGCACTAACGTCCACGAGTATGTTTGTGAACATGACAAGAATATTACAAACTGTAATTAAAAGAGGGTCTGGAATTCTGGCTGGAAAAGTCAGAATGGGCAAGCAGGAGACTTGATGTAGAATACTGCCATCTTTGGAGTCCCTGGCTGGTGCAAACACTTAACAAACTTGGCCACTAACTGAAAGGCTGGAGGTTTGGGTCCATCCAGAGATGCCTAGGGGGAAAGGCCTGGTGATCTACTTCCAAAACAAATCAGCCGTTGAAGATCCTACGGATCACAGTTCTACTCTGAATCAACTCAAGGGCAGGCAACTGGTCTGGTACTGTCATCTCCGGCTCAGACAGGGTCTGTGAAGATAGGAGAACCTGTCCCCACCCACAAGGAACACTTACTTCTACCTCAATCTACATAGTGCTGATGGAAAACTAGGTACAGAAGAGCTGGTGCAGTCTATGGACTCATTCCCCAAAAGAAATGATGGAATACAAGGAGAGTGAGCCCCTTCCGGACCCTCAACAGTTCCAGTTCCATCAACTCTCTAAAGCTCTAGAATAAGGAGCCACAAACAACGTTCCCAGGCCAAATACAGCCACCACCTGTTTTTATGTGGCCCCTGAGTAAATAGTTTTTTGCATTTTTAAATGGTAGGGGGGAAAAAATCAAACAAAGAATCGTATTTTGTGATATGTGACAATTACGAAATTCAAATGTCAACGTCCATAACTAAAGTTTAACTAGCCATGCTCATCCATTGCTACATTGTCTATAGCTGCTTTCATACTACAACTGACCCTATAGCTCACAGAGCCTAAAATATTCACTGTTTGGCCTTTTATAGAAAAAGTTTGCGGGCTCCCAGGCTAGAGCATCCCTCCATGCTCCTGGTTGCATGTCTCCTTTCTTGAGCCAGTCCACTGCTTCACAAGGTAGAGACTCTAAGCTTGACAGGTGTCCATCTTGGGGCAGCTTTCTAGCCTTTAGTGTTGTCCGAAGTTACACCACTGCATATAACATAGTGCAGTTGATTAGAGTGGGCACAAAGACAGAGTAACAAATTACATGCATACAGAAGGCCCTGAAAAGGAAACAATGCAAGTACAACATTACAGGCAGCACAGTTCAGACAGACCTTTTACCAGACTACCACACTCAGTTCTGGGTCATACTAGTGAAAGGAAACAAGGAAAACATTATAGAGAATTTGGAGGTGGACAGATGATTAAAAGCTCAAAAGTCATACCACTGAAGAAATGTTAACAGAAATGGGATTACTTTGCCCAAAGATGAGAAATAAACTATAAGTGAGGGGGTCAAACTCTTCATTTGCTCATAGGTCAAATTCCTATTGATGAAAATACTGGCGGCCTCAACTAATGTTCCACAAAACACATCTAATGACTTAAACGTGATTCCTAATGAGACTGCCATCCCTGCCTGAGTCCATAATATACCCTTAAAAAATAATCACTTGTCAAATACTGTACCGTAAGTCTTCAACAGATGTGTTACAGGAATGTTCCTTTTTCAGAAACATCTGGCATTAATGTATGTTACTGGGAAAGGTGTGCTATTAGTGTGCTGAGATCCACTAATGTTCAAGTAACTAAAAGGTAATGTAACTTTCATAACCACAGGTCTTTCCACAGGACCAAATGGGAAAAAATGGGCTTAAATTACAGAATTTATGTTATGTTCAAGAATGTTCTAACAGTGAGACTTTACAATTACTCTAACAAATTACTGAGAATAAAGGAATCTTCTTCCGGAACACCATTCAATTAGAATACTCAATCTGGAACTATCTGGATGTTTTGCTGAAGCAAGGAGAATGGGCTGTGTAAGTTCTCAAAGAGCCTTCCTCTGTAGGTATGATTCTGTAATTTCTCTGTGAGTAAGAGCCTGCAGTCATTGCTCACTTCCGTTTTGTCTTGAAGGTGGTCAATATACACACAATGACTACAGTTCAAGATAAACCTTAATATCCCACACTAAAATTTGATTATAACTTCAATTACAACTTCTTTTAAACTACAGATAGAGGATGGATTCCCATTAAGTACATAAAATTGGAAAATTAGCATAGTTTCCAAATCCGTTTATATTCCTTTCAATGATAAGAAATACCTTATTTCAAAATGTCCAACACGTGTACACAGTAAATGCTCAACAAATGCATCCTGCAGAAAATACAGTATATTTCCAATTAGTTTTGAAATACAGAATTCTTGAACACGAAATGTTGAGTCAACCTCAAGACTACAAACAGTAATGCAAACTCTGAAACTTGCTCTAAATATAATTTAAAGCAATCTGAGCTTTTTCATCTCAAAATTCTAAAATTTCTATTTCCCTTAGATTATCCTTTCCACAGTGTGAAGCACACACTAAACTTTCTCCACTCCTACAGCACCTTACATAGGATTTAAAATCAAGAGTACACAATACGTTCAAACCACTTCTACAATCTTGCATTAACCTTACCAGGATAAACTTTTCGCCAGGTCTCTTGATACTTTTTAAAGACCTGTAGTAGTGAAACAAAGAAAGCACAACCCCCTCCCCCTTTTCTAAACCATATGGCAGTAAATTCAAGTTAACTTATTTTTTACCAGCTCAACGCCTTATATATCGGCCCTAAACATTCATCTCTTTGTGCCCTGGGACTGCGGTAAAGGTGTCTGCTTATTGCAACTGTACCCCAGCCGCGTTTTGAAATGTACAACAAAGTCTAAATCGCCTCCGATCATCAAATGAGACCTCACCACGGTCATTTACCAAAACCTGGTCTGCTAGGCAGCGCATGCCGGTCGAGGGCCCAAGGCTGGCCAGGAGCGAGTCCCGCTCCGGCAGCGTGACCCAGCAGGGAGTTTGCTCGCCGCGGTCGGGCCGGATCCGCCCCGGGAACTTGGTTACCCGAGGCCAGGGACGCGCCGAGGCCTAGCCGCGAGGCCGGGGCGGGATCCGGGCGGCGGGGGCTTCCCGTTCACTGGGGCCAGCAGCAGAGCCTTCCCGCCCGTCCC